ACCTCCTGTGTCTTGGTCTCCTGACTCTACCACTGCACCCACAGAGACCAGTGGGCATCCATGGACTCCTGAGTCAGGTGCGGCCCCTCCTCTGCACAGAGCTCTGCGACCTCCATTTTTCTCAGAAAAAAAGGTCAAGTCTTCTCCATGGCCCACAAAGCTCTGTACACCCACCCTTCCTGTTCTTCACCTCCACTCACATCACACAGGCTTCCTTACTGCTCCTCAAACTCCCAAATGTTCCCACCCCAGGACCTTTGCACAGGCTTCGTCTTTTGCCTGAAAACACAGGCAAACTCCTCTGGTCACCACAGACGGCCCTCCGGCCCTCCATAATCTCCCTACTTAAAAACTTAAACTCCCACCTCCAGGCCTTAAAGATCACTCCCACCTGTCTTTGCTGCTCTCATACCCTAAGAATTTCCTCATTCCACTTAATTTCTTGCCTGTTTCCTTTCCTAGAAGTTAACCCCACAAGTGTGGCGCCTGTTGTATCTCCAGGGGTTAAAACCCTACTGGGTAACTGCACAATCAATGTTTGCTGAAGGAAGTTATGAATGGATTTATTGATATTAAGTCACTTATATGCTTATCAAGATAAAAAATAGTTCAACCAGAACAACCCTCTAGGTTAACAGAAATCACTCTCCCTCTTACTCTTGGCCCAGAGCCCTCACTTCCTCTCTATGAGGCAGTTCCTCTCACTGGCTTCCCTTCTATCCTTAAAGACCGTCTATAGACGGTCTATAGTATCCGCTATAAGCAGGTTGTAGCTATTCACCTCCCAGTTTTGTGAGACAGTTCTCACTTTTCTAGTTCACAGACTCACAATTGGCCTTTACTTCCCAGCGGCCTACTTAGCTACTTCATGTTTTTATAAGGCAACATAGTATTCCACTGTGAGAACAGTACTATTTTTCATTCAGCCAGCCCCGGCCTTAAAAAGATACAGATGACACCCACACACACCCATGCACACCGACATTAATGGACTAACTGAGGAAGGACACTTCTTGGCTGTGTCACAGCTGAGTCCGGACGACTGGCCAAGGGTATATGAAGGGTTTCTTTCACAGGGAAGGCTACAATTTTCTATGTGGTTAAGGGCTTATTTTTCATTTTCAGCCCCCACCCTGTCTCAATGGAAAGAATATATTAATTTTGTTATATGAGTTTAAAATAACCCTCCTTGGTGGTGACCATAATGTAGTATAAACAGATGTTGATTTACAGTGCTGTATACCTGGAACTTACAAAATGTTATAAACTGATGTTACATTAATAAAAAGCCCTCCTTTTGACTAGGAAAGAGCATAAAATAACTTTCTGGGATAATGGGAAGGTTCTGCAACAGATCTGAATTGTTTTTTCCATTAAGGACAAGTATTAAATATTTTAAAAAGCATGGTGTTTCACATGTCAACTCCCCCCCCTTTTAATTTATTGTATTGTATTCTTTTTATAATTGCTGTCTTCTTTTTTTGTTTTTATTTTTAATTTATCTTATCTCCCACATCATTTCTGTCACATATTCTTTTTTCTTTTTTAAAGATTTATTTTATTTATTTTTGCATACAACTGGGGTGTAGGCCAAAGGTACAGGGGGTGAGAGGATGCACCAGAGACAGAGTGAGGAGCAGAATGGGCAGATCTACTGAAATGCAGTGCTAAGGGGCACAGCAGGTGAGACAGGAGAGGTCTGCCACAAGGTGGGCCTGGCCTGAGATAGAACTCAGGTCATAGTGGCTGGCAGTAGCTTGATTGCACTGAGACTTTACCCTCTGAGCCATCAGGGAGGTCCTCACATATTCTTCTTTTTTTAAACAACCATTGACAACTATAAAAGTCTGCTGGATTTACAAAATAGGCCACAGCACAACGTGAATGTACTAAACACTACTGAACTATATTTTTCAAAAATAGTTAAGATGGTAAATTTCCTGTCATATTTTTAGCATAAAATATAAAAATAATATCAACAGATTGTCCTTAGGCATGAAGGGATCCTGGAAATGCTGGCAATGCTTTCTTTTTTCTTCATCTGGTACTAGTTACATGGATGTAAAAACTCTTAGAGGCGTGTACAGTAAGGATCTGTGCCCTCTGATGTACCAATGTTCCGCTTCAATAAACTTTTAAATATTCCCCTTGCTTGGTCTACCCATCAATACACAATTTGGTGCAACTATGAAAAAAAAAAAAAAAAGATTGAGGAAGTTTTCCAGGCACAGCCACCAAGCTATATTAAGCAAAAAGAAAAAGCAACATGCAAAACACAAAGCAACTACCTCTTATTCAACAAATATTTGTTGAATACCTACTATGTGCCACACACTGGACATATCATCAAACAAAAGAGACGTGCAGTCCTGCCTCAAGAGGGACTACAGGGATTTGCTGACATTGCCGTGAAAAGGGAAAAAACAGTCACTAAAGTAAGAATGTATAGATAATTGCATGTGAAGGTCTAAGGCCTGCACTCTGTCCAGAAGGAGACACAAAATGTCATACTACTGATGAACACCAAGGAGGGAACTTGGTTATTAGGGGAGGAAGAGGAAGACTGTTCATGACAGAATCACAAAATCTTCACATCTTTCGTATTTTGAAACCTGTGATTGTATGATCTCTTTTAAAAAATAACTTTGAAACTCACAAGTATATACTCCCAGAATCCCAGGATCAGCTGAGTTGGACTCTAGCAAATGGAGTCATAGAAACTGATTTTAAACAGTCACTACAGTTTTCTCTTTCCCGATCTCCTACTTCAGAGTCTATTGTTTTAAGTTCTAGAATGATTTCCCATGTTGCTTATGCTACGGGCGGCTGGGAAGGATGATAATACATATTGCTGACATCACTGGGCCAGGAGTTATTTCCCGATTTCCTTAAATGCCGGAAAGGGCTCCTCTAAACATGCTATCTGCCAAGGGGTAGCTTCCATTCCTGCAGGTGCAAGTCTACTTCCTGTGGAGAGGGCCTCCTCAGCTTATGGAAACCCAAGGCCCCAGAGTACCTGGAACAGGAAGCTTCAGAGCATGCAGCACCAGTAAGGCACAGAATAAATAATTCACACCAGTGAGTGTGGTCTGCCAAGTCCTACAGACAAGGAAACAGTCTCACCCGGGGCCACACAGGTCAAAGCCTGGATTTGTGTCAGTCTCATGTCACCCCCAAAATTCAGAGAAGCTACTGGGGTACAAGAAAGACTTCGTGAATCATTCCTGCACACAGCTCCAAAGGAAAGCTCCTCATTATGTGGCAGGGACTTCACAGGGCAGCCTCAGGTTCTTGGTTCTGATGAAAATAGACTATTTACAAGTTAAGTGAGACATCCCCTCTCCCACTTTGAAGAGTTAACCCATGTGGCCTCTCGCAAGTAGGTGAGGGCCTGGCTGCAAGCAAGATATAGCTGAAATCACCCCAGGATCTGCTGGGCCTCTCAGAGAAATAACTCAACAACTGTGTAGTTAGTTTGCTGTTCCTCTGCCTTAAACACACTTACCCCAGATCTTATTTCTTTGTTTAATCTCTATCCCAAAAATTTTTTGGTTTTGGTCACTGCTGGATTCTTAGTGTGAAGACCATGCTTGTAACATGCTCAGTTAACATCTGACCGAGTGTACATTGAGAGCACAGGCCAGTGTTGGGCACAGAGGCCACCCCCAAACAGGTATGATTGTGGCAATCTTTGGGAGGGTTAGCTCAGGTCATCGGTGACTATGTCCCTTCAGCCAAGTTCAAGAATTTGAGAATCATGTCCTCCACTCCCACCTCAACCAGACCTCAAGGAGGCCAAAGATCCTCAGATGCTCCCCAGGACATTCCCAAATCAGAGACAGCCGGCCACACCCAAGGTACACAGCACTGGGTACCAACAGGAAGGGGGTTGGGGGAGGTATTTAGCCTCAACCAAGAGCAAAAGGGCTCCTGCAGAAGGTGGGAGCTGGCAGCTTCAAGCAGGGAAGGGAGTGGCTGGACTGAGGCAAGCGCGCAAGCCTCCCTCTAGTCCTCCCCATCGGTTTCTCTGCAGTCTTCAGACAGCACAGTCCCAGGTGGGGAGGGAGGCACAGCTCTCGTCTATTTGTTTCTCTAGATTATGTTTAAGTGGTTTCCGGACCCTTCCCCAAGGCTTTTGAGCCTCACAGTTTCCGGGAAGTTCCTATCTCACGGGAGGGGCGGCAGGGGACAGGGCACTGACACCTGGGTGTGAGGCTAAGTCAGCCATGGGGGACCCAAAACGAGTAAGAGGAAGGAGTAAATGAGGTCTCTACACCATCCCCGTGGGAACCCGGGGAAGAGATGCACCTTGGTGCTAGTGAGGAGAGTGGGGAGGAGGTCAGATTTTAACCTCTGCCCCCCCCTCCCCGGGGCACAGAGGCTGAGGCCACTCTCAAAGGTCGCAGGGAGTGAGTTCCAGAGCCGACTGAAGAGTGCACCCCCACCCCCTCGCAAAGGGCAAGGAAAGTTTCTCAATTGTTTCCGTTTTTCTTCCGGGGGGGCCCCTCACTATAGGCGCCCAGGTTTCCGCCCTTCACAGGCGGCGACAGACAACTGATGGGCTCAGAAATCCGACTGCCCAGTCTTGCCTCAGTTTCCCCACCTGAGCAAAAGCCCCAGACGGCTGCCTCTATGGGAAGATATACAAAGGAAACTGGAGGGGGATCTGGTGAGGTTCGGGGGCCTGTCCCTTTTCGGAGCCCTGGTTGCTGTCTCCCCTCCCCCGCCTGCCATCTGAGCCAGCCAGATAACGGGACCTCTCAGCGCGGAGCATGCGCCGTGTGTCCCAGCCCATCGGCGGGCAGGGGAGCGAGGGCTCCCGGCAGGGAACACGAAGCGATCCCGCGGGGGCAAAGGGGTCGCAAGCTCGGTACAGAAGGGAAAGGCGGGCTGGGGAACCTTAGCCGCAGCGCGGGTTTTTAAGATCTCAGCTGTCTGTCCCCTTCCCCCAAAACCCATCAACTCAGCAGAGGCGACCCTCAGGCAGAGGCTGCACCTACCGTAAGCTCCGTCCTTCCGCTGGTCCTCCATGGTCGCGGCAGGCTGGGAGGAGAGTCCGAGCCAGCGCGACCCCAGCCCCGGCGGGCGGGAGGCTCGGCGGGCTGCAGCGCCCAGCCCCGGGCCCGGCCCTGCCCCGCCGGCCTGGCTAGCCCCGCGCACAACCTCCCCTCCAATGGAGGCACCCCGAGAGGGCGGGGGCGGGGCCGAGGGCTGGGCCGGGGACGTGAGGGTGGGGCTCCAACCTTTGTTTCTTGCTCTGCTCAGCACAGCGCTCTTCACGGTGTGTTTGGGGGCCAAGGAGAAGTAATTCAGGGACCCACTCATCCATTCATCCTTTCATTCGTCAGGTAGATAACAAGCGTTGCATGTCAGTGAACAGACAAAAAGATTTCTTTCCTCATTCATCAAAATGGCAAGAATTTGAGAGTTTGGTACATCAAGCTGTATGGGCAAACGCTGCCGGCTAGAGTGTTCTCAGGCAGAAAGAGTAAATAACAAACCGCGTTCACCCAGGGCTAGTGCTCTCTGCCATTAATCCTGAAGAAGCCATCGAAGGAATGTGTACATGCTGAGCACATGCCAAAGGGTGTTACCTGTAGCTTTGACAGTTTTTGTAAAAAGTGGGAGAAAGATAGGTGTTCATCAACAAAGGATTCATGCAACACAATGGTGTGGTCCCAGGAGAAAATACCATGCAGTAGATAAAAAGAATGATGTCATCAGGGGAAAGCAAATTAAAATTCAATAATGTACCAAACATACCAGAATAGCTTAAACTAAAAGACTGATAGTACCAGATATAGGTGAGAATCCGAGCAAATTACCTGTGGAAAAGCAAAACTACTTAGCAGTTTCTTTTAGATAGGAACCTGCCATATGTCATAGTCCTTTTTTTCCTAGGTATTTAGCCCCCAACACTCCAAAACAGAACTTTTTTTTAAAGATTTATTTATTTATGCATACAGAACTGGGGTACAGGCCAGAGGTGCAGGGGCAGTGAGAGGATTCACCAGACACAGAGTGGGGTGCAGAACAGGCAGATTGAGGAAGTGACACTGCTGAGGGGAGCAGCCCGCGGTCAGGAGAGGTCTGTTGCGCCATGTGGGTCACTTCCAGGGCAGGTGGGGATCGAACTCATGCGGAAGTGGCTTTAGCTTCTCAGTGCTGTGCTTTAACCTGCTGCGCCACCAGGGAGGGCCCAAAACAGAACTATTAAAAGAAAAAAAAATGTTCCCAGCAGCTTTATTCCTAATGGCCAAAAATCAAAAGCAACCCAAATATCCATCAGCATGAGTCCACACACACAGCCATACTGGAACCTGTAGCTCTAAAAAAGCATGAACTATAAAAGTATGTGCAATAGTATACATACATCTCAAAATGGGCACTGTGCTGAGTGGGGGGAAAACCAGACACTTGTTGAGGGTGTGGTTAATCAACCTTTAACAAAAAGGAACATAACTTAGCAGTTGACTTTGCAGGTGGTGGGACATGCTGCCACAAGGGAGGTTAGGAGGGGGCAAGGGGGACTAGAAACAGGGCTGTGGTTGCCAGTTACCAGTGCTTCAGTTTGTGACAGTTAATTAACTCTGACCTTTCTTAATATAGGTTTCTTTTCTTTTTTTTTTTTTAAGATTTATTTATTTGTGCATACAGAACTGAGGTACAGGCCAGAGGCTCAGGGGTGGTGAGAGGCTTCACCAGAGACAGAGTGGAGAGCAGAACAGACAGATCGATGAAGTACATTGCTGAGGGGAGCAGCGGGTGGGTCAGGAGAGGTCTGCCACGCCATGTGGTCACCTCCGGGGCAGGCGGGAATCGAACTCATGTGGAAGTGGCTTTAGCTTTTCAGTGCTGTGCTTTAGCCCACTGCGCCACCAGGGAGGGCCTAGGTTTCATTTTTTTTAAATGGGTAGAATTTAATAGTCAAACAAAGAAGGAGGTAGCTCTGAAGTTTATAACAAGAAGGAAGGTTTATAGGGCCTTTACTCAAAATCAGGCATGGTATTAAGTTTTACATTAAATCTTTATTTTTTTAAAGAATTATTTATGCATACAAGAGCTGGGGTACAAGGCCAGAGGCATGGGGGTTGGGGAAAGGCTTTACCAGAGACAAAGCTGGGAACAGAACAGGAAGACTGAGGAAGTACACTGCTGAGGGGAGCAGCAGGCGGGTCAGGAGAGGTCTGCAGCTCCATGTGGGTCAGCTGCCTGGCCAGGAATTGACCTCCTGCTGCAGTGGCTGCTGATCACTTCATAGTGCTGTGCTTTAACCCTTTTGCACCACCAGGGAGGGCCCATTTTACATCAAATCTTTAAAACCATTTTCCAGTTGGGAAAAGTGATACAGCAAGGTCAAGTAATTTATCCACAGTCACACAGAGAGTGGGACTGTACAAGGATTTAAACCCATGGAGTCTGAGTTCACAACCCACATATGCTTCACAGCCTGCAGCCATACCCTGCCACAGTAACAGACTTCAAGTCATATTGGTGAGTGAAAACAGCAAGTTGTATTTAGTCCTAATTTAGTCTTGATGGGAAAGAAAGAAATAACACACAACACACATCCCTGCATGTCACTTCATAGGAGAAGATATGGATATAACCAAAATCGTCAGAGGGGCCAGAAAGAAACCTTTCAACAAAAATAAGACTTATTTTACTTATTTATGCAGGCCAGAGATGGGGGGGGGGCAGGGTGAGAGGATTCCCCAGAGACAGAGTGGGTAGCAAAACAGGCAGATCCACTGAAATACACTGACATGGGGGAGCAGCAGGTGACAGGAGAGGTCTCTGCGCCTTGTGGGTCAGCTCCTTGGCCCATGCCACAGTGTCTAGCCATAGCTTGATAGTGCTGAGATTTAACCCCTTGTGCCACCAAGGAGACCCAATGAAACCTTTTATTTTTTTTTTTAACCTGTAATGTTCTCTTTTTCTCTCATTCTCTCTGAGACTTTTTTAATATGCATCTTAAAAAATTAAAACTATATCTCAAAAAATAGATTTATAAACCATTCACAAGAGGACAAGTATGTGTGATTCTACTTTACATGGTCACTAAAGGAGTGAAATTCATATATACAGAAGTAGAATTGTAGGTGTCAGGGTCTGCAGGGCAGAGTTTCAGTTGAAGAAAGTGAAGAGAGTCCTGGACACAGCTGACTGTGGGTGCACAACACTGTGAATGTGTTAAACATCACTGAACTAGACACAAAAATATGGATAAAATGGCAAATTTTACAGTATTCATATTTTACCACAATACAAGCTTTTTTTTTTTTAAGATTCATTTATTTATGCATACAGAACTGGGGTACAGGCCAGAGGTGCAGAGGCAGTGAGAGGATTCACCAGAGACAGAGTGGGGAGCAGAACAGGCAGATATTGAAACACTGCTGAGGGGAGTAGAGGTGAGACAGGAGAGCTCTGCTGTGCTGCAGTGGCTGCTAACAGTTTCATAGTGCTATGACTTAACCCTTGTGCCACCAGGAAGGCCCCAAAATAAAAGTTTTTAAACTACACATTTAGATATATGATACAAAGCAGCTGTGAAGGGGAGCAGGGAACATTGAGAAGACCCAGATCAGGGATCTGACCTAGACATGGGGTGAAGACTTGAGAGCTGAATGAGAAGATGAAGAAAGGAAAAAAGAAAGCATGTGGTACTGGAGGGAGTCAGGGGCCAGAGGAAAGAATTAGAAAAGTCAGTGTGGCCCTGGCTGGTGGCGCAGCGGGTTAAGTTCAGCTGTGCAAGCATCCACTTCATTGTGAGTTCGATCCCCTGACCTGGAGGTGACCTACATGGTGCAGGAGACCTCTCCTACCTCCCCTCAGCAGTGCATTTTATCAATCTGTCTGTTCTGTGCCCCACTCAGTCTCTGGTGAATCCTATCACCACCCCTGCACCTCTGGCCTGTACCCCAGTTCTGTATAAATCCCTTAAAAGAGAAAGAAAGAAAAGTCAGTGTGCCTGGGATACTGGGTTCAAGTAGTGCCTCGTGGGAGAGTTAGGTCAGCAGGGGTTGCCTAACAGAACAACCCCAAGGCAATGAGGACCCATGCGGTGTGTGAGGGAAAGAGGGAAAGAAATAGCAACAGTGATTTTCAGGGTGATCCCTTTGCAAGTTCTCCCTGGTTTGGAGAAGGGGCCTAGGAGGAACTGGGACAAGGCCACTGCCTCTGGGGACTGGCAGGTTGCAGCAGGGGTTGGGCTGTTGGTCACACAGAACCTCTCTGTTCTCTGATCCCACTGTAGCTTTTGGGCTCATGAATTTTTCAGCCAAACTGGCCTTGAGTTTCAGATTCCAGGGCACTGGGCCCAGGCTTCTGGGTTTTGTTTACTGCCTAAAAACATCTCAGGGCCCAGCAGAAGGGTCAGTTTGAGGATCAGTGGGACCTGGGCTGGGGGCCTCACAGTGACTATAATTCCCTAAGTCACTTTCTGAGTGTGTTTGGGGTTGGGAGTAAGAGAGGTCTTCCTCTTTTGGACAGAGACAGCATAAAACTCTGGACTTTGCAGGAGTAAAATTCCAGCCATGACACTGCTGATTGGGTTGTTTTATACAAGCCACTCTCTGAGCCTCAGCTTCCCTACCTATCAAATGGAGACAATAGGATTCCTGAGCTCAAAGCAACTTTTTTTTTTTTCCCACTTGTATATAGGGCCCTCCCTGGTGGCACTGCGGATTTCAGTGCTGCACTGTGAAGCGAGGCCAAGCCCTGGCTGCTTCAGTACAAGTTTGATCCCTGCCCTGGAGGTGACCCACATGGCACGGCAGACCTCTCCTGTCTCGCCCACTGCTCCCCTCAGCAGTGTATTTCGTCGATCTGCCTGTTCTGCTACCCACTCTGTCTCTGGTGCCCTTGCTCGCTGCTTGCTGCCCCTGCACCTCTGACCTGTACCCCACATCTGTATGCATAAATAAATAAAAATCTAAAAAAAAAAAAACCTACTTAAAAATTTTTACTGGCACAATGGGTTAAAGCACAGTACTATGGAGCTACCACCACTGCAGCATGAGTTGGATCCCTAGCCAGGAGGTGACCCACATGGCGTCGCAGACCTCTCCTAACCCCCCGCTGCTCCCCTCAGCAGTGTACTTCATAGATCTGCCTGTTCTGCCCCCTACTCTGTCTCTGGTG